TGGGGAGTGATTTCTCGCTTTCTGTCTCTCTGTCTCTCTCTGTCTGTCTGGCAAGCACAAAAATCCATCCCCCCCAAAAATGATTAGTTATTATTATTTTTAACTTTGCTATAGACAACGTGTGCTCAACAGAGGGACATGGGGAGAGCGACGGAAAGTAAGAAAACAAGCCCCCAGGTCCAGACCTCGAACCACAGTTGAGTTGAGTCAGCTATGTGGGAGTCCCTAGACACTTCAAATTCTACGGACTCGCTTTTGTTTTCACCGTGAAGCTCCTTGAGTTCCCTTTGCCCTCCCCAAGATGGCGCCGCCCTCGCCCTCCCATCCGATTCTCTCCAACCAAGCCAGCGTCCCCTGCAGTGCGCGACCCCTGCAGCCCTTCTCAAGATGGCGCGAACACTAGCCCGTTTACCCTCCGCTCTTCAAGAGATCCTTGGTGGTCAGAGTCAACCGAGGCGCCCTCTGACCTTCCCAATATGGTGGCGAACGGACTACGCGCCACATCTGACCTTTCCAAGATGGCGCACTACGTCACAAACGTGCGCAAACTCAGTGTCGCTCGCCGGGTACTTCCACTTCCAATCGCGCCGGAAGGCGGCCAATGGGGCGTACGAGGATCCTCGGAGGGTGGTTTTTCGTGGGCCAGGACACCCCGGCTCGACCATGGACCGGAGGAAGAAGCCTCTGGACGTCACGGCCTCCTCGGTGAGTGCGGGTAGGAGATGCCGCTGCGGGCCCCGGGTTCTCCCGCCTCCGTTCGTGGAGACTCAGGTCTGGCCCATCCCCTCGCTCCGGACCGGACCCGGGCCAGGCCTCCCGGTCTGCAAGGACTGGGCTGGCTCGCAGTCGGGACCCCGGCTGTCCCTGCTGTGCAGACGTGGCCTCTTCCCGTCCTCTCCCCAGTCCAGCGACCAGCAGGGTTCTGCCAGGACGTTGGGGCGAGGCTTCTCTCCCGAGACCCGCGGTCCCATCGGTGACTGGGCGGGGGCCGCACGGTCCGGGGGCTGCGAGGTCTGGCCCCGTCTGCGGCTTTACGGGTTTAGCGGCTCAGGCTCCGGCTCGGGTTGGTGCGCCCGCCGTGTCTGCAGGGTCTCTGCTCCTGGCCGCGTTAGGACAAGATGCCGTCCTGTAGAGGAGATCGAGGCTCAGAAAGGGGAGAAGGTTGTCCCCGGCTCCCACACGGAGTACTTAGTGATAGGACCCGCAGGCCCACCCCGGTTGATTTCTGGAGTTACTGCCTTTTCCGTGACAGCAGAGCAAATTGCCTAACTTTATGTTAGTTGTTGAATTTACTTTGGAGTATTAGAGTGCAAAGAACGTGCCAAGGAAAACATCTCAGAGTCCCAGTATGTGAGTCTCTTTCTCATGTAGTAGTGAAAATTGCTATGAGTTGTTTATTATGTTTGAGGGGCCAGAACTAAAAAGCTGTGACTTTTTTTTTTTGAGAGAGAGAGAGAGGTTTTTGCTATAGGGTGCATGCGCTTGCCAGAAAGACAGAGAGAGACAGAGAGACAGAAAGCGAGAAATCACCCGCCCTGGGTGATGGCCACGCCACAATCCCTTCTCCATTCTCCTCTCAGGATCTTGGGCACGCACGCACACGCGCCTGGAGTGAGTTTGAGCCACCAGATCCGGGACTCGAACCGCGGTCGACTCCGTGGGAGTCCAGCGACATAGCCATTACGCTAACTGCTGGTCCCCAACCATTTTTAAAAAAGAATTATTTTATTTAATTTTATTCGTTGTCATTATTTTAATTTTATTTTTTTGAAGTTCATTAGAGACACAGGCAGAGAAATAGGGAGGAAATGAGAAAGTGAGCCACCAGGTCTGAACCACGGTTGGCCATGTGGGAGTCCAGCACCTTTAACCATCATGCTACCACCTGCTGGCCCAAAATTGCTTTTGAAAATTGTATTAGACTATAGGCTGCCTAAGGCCTAATTCTTAAATCCTCCTATTCAGTGTCAAGAGGCAGGTACAAGCTAGGTGCCCAGATAGGTAGTGAATAAAAACGTTTCCCAGTAGAAATAATCAATGGTTGTGATGGATAATTGAGATTTCCCCATGAAAGAACCAACCGCAGTACCAGTCAGAGGTAAGGTGCTTAGTAGTAACAGTTGAACCTGAGTCTAAAATGCATTCCCTTAGTGTTGAAAGATTGGAGATACATTTGTAACAGAGCAGGGATGAAATACGAATTGATTAAATTTTGTACCAGATTCTCCATTGACACACACTATTTTGTATCCCATTTTTGCCCATTTAGACAAACCTGAAATCTTGCGTTGAGCATTCCTGTAGCTTAATGACCCTGTCACCCACCAGAACTGATCAGTATATTTTTGTTTACCTTCTGGTTTTATGTCTAGTTGGTCGATCTTAAAGCTGAACTTTTCCGAAAACAAGAAGAATTCAAACAAGAAAAGCTTCTGAAAGATGCTGGCGTTTTGGGGAAACCGAAAACCACTAACAAGGTAAGATAAGACCGTGTTATCTCGATGGGTTACAAACGTAGTTTCAGGTTTTTGAAAATGTCGGTGATACCTGTACACACGAAGGTTAAGGAAGAATCGTTCCCTTATGTTTGAAAATCCGCATGAAATATGTTACATATAAACAGGAAAATTTATAAATGACGTAAATGTGCATGATAATGCGAGCGTCCTTTAGCAGGTCTTTTAGGACAGTAGGTCGAGTTAAAAGCGGGTGGTTTTAAATTCTCAGGGATTCATACATGGTGTGCATCCAAACAGAGATAAAGAGGTAACATAGCTCTCTACCAGAAGGTAGCAGATCTTTAAGAGTCATGAACGGTTTTCCAGTTTTATAGGTACTTGGATCTATTATCTGTATTATCCGTTCTTTAGCAGTAACGTATAAACTTTCATTCGAGTCTTGAATGAGGCTGCAAGCACTCAGAAGGTAACCGAGCTGTAACTGTGCAGTTGTGTAAAGACATTTCTAATACAGTGGAGGGCTTGCTTTCCAGCTCCAGCTTGGCCACAGTCAGCCTGCCTTTGTAGACAGTAGGTTCGCTGTCAGGAGATCTGGTTTGTCCATTGATTCCTGAGATCAGGTGGTCTCTTTCACAGTCACGTGGTGGTTCCATTTTGTCTTTTTAAATTTCCCAGAAACCAAGTATCTGGAGCAAACAGAACACAGGAGTTTCCAATCGAGCCGAGAAGGACGCTGAACAGAAGATCGAGGAACAGAAGACGTTAGACAAAGCAAGGTAAAGTTAAGGTCTGGTGAAGGTTACCTTTGATGGGCAAAGAAATGGAAGCAAAGAAATGGAAGTTCCGGGGCCAGCAGGTGGCATGGTGGTTAAGGCACTGGACTCTTACACGGCCACTGTGTTTTGAGCCCTGGACCCATGGACAGGAGGATGGAAGCGAGATTGCAGCATGGCCATCCTCCCTGGGAGGGTGATTTCCCATTTTCCCTCTCTCTGTCTCTGTCTCACTCCGGCAAGCTCATGTACCCTGTGGCAAAATCAAGCACACACACATAAAAGAAGTGAAAGTTAAAATTTTACTCTTTTTGACTTACAAGTTTGAGTTTTAGCTTCTTCTAGGTAAATGCTCTGTGTATATAAATACTCTAAAAGTAGGGGCAGGCAGGTGGCATGGTAGATAAGGTGCTGGACTTTTCCACGGCCAACCGTGGTTTGAGTTAGGGGCCCTGCGGCTTGAAACTTGGCGCTGGGCACATGTGTGTGCGTGCCCGAAGTCCCGAGAGGAGAATGGAGGAGAAGGGATTGCGGCGTGGCCATCCCCCCCTGGGCGGTGATATCTCACTTTCCCTCTTGCTGTTGATCTGTCTCTCCAGTAAGTACACGTACCCTATGGCAAAACCTTAAAAAAAAAAAAATGAATCATGTAGCTCACAGCTGTATCTACAGTTTCCTGAAAAGATAAGACCTAGTAAGTGTCGGTTCAAAAATTGAAGCAGGCCAGCAGGAGGTAGAGGTTAAGCTGCTGGGTGTCCCACGGCTGGCTGTGTGCTGAGAGTCCTGGACCCAGCAGCCTGGAAGTCATTAAAGATCTGTGGGTATGGATGCCCGAAAGCCCAAGAGGAGACTGGAGGAGGAGGGCCCGTGGCATGGCCATCCTCTCCGAGGGTTCTTCTGTGCTCACTCTCTCTGCCGAGTGGACACATCCTATAGCAAAAACTATAAACAAACACGACTCTGTCTTGCTTTGAGCCTTGTTTTTTTTTTTTTTTTTTTAAAGATTTATTTTTTAATTTAACTTTATTTTGATTTGACCAGAGAAGGATGGGCATTGGGAGGAGTGAGAAAGCAAGCCGCCAGGTCAAGGACTTGAACTGCGCTCGGCCATGTGGGAATAAAGCGACCCCAACCACCACAGCACCTGTTGGCCCCAGAGCCTTTTCTTTTGGAGAGGTTTTTGCTATAGGGCATGCGTACACTCGCCAGAAAGACAGAGAGAGACAGAAAGCGAGAAATCACCCCCCGGGGGATGGCCACGCCACAATCCCTTCTCCTCTCGGGATCTTGGGCATGCATGCACAGGCACCCGGCGTGAGTTTAAGCCACCGAGTCAGGGACTCGAACCGCGGTCCACCATTACGCCAACTGCTGGTCCTTCCGAAGCCTGCGGGTTTTTGAATGACAGGGCCTCACTGTTGCCATCCCTGTGCCTCAGCCTCGCACAGGACCACAGGTGTGCCGTGCCCCACTCATGTTTTTGTTTCCGTGTGTTTGGGTATTATCGTTGTTTGTTTTAGACAGGGTCTTGCTCTCAAGCTTGAGATCCTCCTCCACCGGTTCCCAAGTCACTGGCCTTCCTGGCTCACCGCTCTGCGGCCA